TATATATATATATATATATATATATAGATATATATTATATAGATAATTTAAAGGAGTTAGATTCAAAGACATTTTTACAAAAGAATGTTATCCATTAAGCAGACAGGCTTATTTATATGAAATGATTCTCATAATAAAAAAACAATGCATTGACAACATAAAATGCTTCTATACACTGTTTGCATGCTATATTTTTTTAATGTCTCGCTTCTTTTTGTAATGCTAATAATTAGTAAGGAGCGTACTAGAATCAAGAGAAATAAGTTTAGTAGAAACAGTCTTTCTCTGTTATCTCACTGTTATCAAATACTCTCCTTATCACAAAATCAATCTGAGAATTGTTTTAATTTTAATCCAATTAAGATTAGTTTAATTAGACTACATATTCATATGCTCAAATATATTGTACATGTGCATGTAAATGAATTGTAAACTTGCAATTGATACATTTTTAAATTAAAATCAATTGGCTAGCATAAAAATTGAAATGTATTTTAATAAATATAAATTATATTTTAATAAAAAAAAGTAAGTTAAGCTCATTATTGTAAAAATTGTTTGTAAATGCATTTGTACAACATATTTTACAATTCAACAGAGCTTTGTCATTTTCAGCTTCTAAATTTCTTCGAATCATTAATAATATATTCAATACTGCATTTAAGAGCACAATTTAAGCACTTAGTATTACATGTGATTTAAACATTGCATGTTACTTACGATTCCATGCGTTCGAAATTTTGCAAGCTCTGTTTGAATATTTTATAGAAAATGAATAATGTTGCTCCACGGGACAATTACTCTAACATTTTAAATTTACTAGGTGATCTACCGTCATATATAACTCGATTCCAGTGGGACATGGCAAAATATCCTATTAAACAATCGCTGAGGAATATCGCTGATATTATCAGTAAACAAGTGGGTCAGATTGATGCAGATCTCAAAACGAAATCTACAACATATAATAATTTAAAAGGAAGTTTACAAAATCTTGAAAAGAAACAAACGTAAGTGTATATTTATTGAAAAAATTCAATGTTATATTATTGTTAACTAATTTTGTTGTTACTTTAAGTTATCATATTATTGCTTTTAATTTTACTTTATAATTACTATTGTACAGAGGAAGTTTATTGACAAGGAATTTGGCTGATTTAGTTAAAAAGGAACATTTCATCTTGGATAGTGAATATCTAACTACGTTACTTGTAATTGTGCCAAGGTATATCCACTTACATTTCGTACAATATATATCTATGGACTGTTAACATTTACTTATATCGTTTTATATATGCATTACATTTATATTTTAGAGCAAGTTTTCATGATTGGTACAATGGGTATGAAAAATTAACAGCTATGATAGTTCCACGTAGTACACAACTTATTACTGAGGATAGCGAATATGGTTTATTCACTATCACCCTATTCAAGAAAGTTATTGAAGAATTTAAGTTGCATGCACGTGAGAAAAAATTCATTGTTCGAGATTTTACCTATAATGAAGAAGAATTAGCTGCAGGTATTTTCATACAAATACTTATTTTCTTAATTAGATAATGTAATTTAGATACTTCTTTATACTTCTGTATTTTGTAATAGAAAATTTTACATAAGATATCGTTATCTTAAAATTAATCAAAGTGTATTATAGGGAAAAATGAAATTACAAAACTGGTAACTGATAAAAAGAAACAATTTGGTCCCCTTGTGCGTTGGCTAAAAGTCAATTTTAGCGAATGTTATTGTGCGTGGATACATGTCAAAGCATTGCGTGTATTTGTAGAATCTGTTCTGAGGTAATGTTCCGTTTAATACCTGATAATATTCATTTTCAATTAAATGCATATTGAATACAATAATAATATAACAGGTACGGGTTACCTGTGAATTTCCAAGCAATCCTGTTGCATCCACACAGAAGATGTGCAAGGCGATTACGCGAAATTCTTAATCAACATTATGCTCATCTGGATTTCTCCGCTACAGCGTCTGCTGCTACACAAGCAAATCAAGATGTATGTTGCACTACGACATTATTATACATACAGTTCCGTTTCAGTATAAACACGTTTTAAACTAATTAATATCTTTTTTATTGATATGTTCAAACAGAGCATGGAAATAGCTGGATTAGGTTTTGGCCAAAATAACTACTTTCCCTATGTGTATTATAACATCGATGTAAACATGGTCGACAATAAGGTTTATTAATTATCAAAGATGAGCATTCTTCTATATTTTAAATATTTTCTTTTCATTTACATAACATACTTCTATAACTCCAGGTACTTAACTACAGGTGTGTACAAAATATACCTTTTTAATTGTGTGAAATATGATTTGCGTGTTTAAAAGTTCATTATTTTGATTTTCATGTAACTGTAATTGTTATCGGTTCACTTCCAGGAGTAGACCAAATATTTATCCAAAAAATAATGATTTAATGTTGTATAAACATAATTATAACAAACCAAATTGAAATATTAAATATTAGTTGAAGGCAGCACAAAAACGAAGTGAGACAACGTGAAATTACTTCATTAAATATTGGATAATTGAGCAAGTTGTATTGTAAATGCTTTGTGTATAGAAAGTATATTATGCAATATTACTTTAAGTATTATTTGTCTTTGTTTCTCTTGAAATGATACCTTAATTAATGAACATGTATTGAAGTGTATTGTTTACATTAACACTTCCAGGTTTTATCTGTACATACGTTTTAAAAGTAGAATGGGTTCCAGGTAGGATAAATTATTATTACTATAACAGCCATTTATGAAAAATTATTTCCTCTATTTAGAATTCTCCTTTTACTAATTAGCTACAATCGGTGCTTCAAAAGACAGCTATATACCAACTTGCTTTTATTAATTGTATAAATAAATGATATTAAATAATAAAGCAAAGTTTCATTGTCACTATTTTATTTATTGAATGCAATAATATATATAATTCCCAAAACCTTTAATTTAAAAGTATAAAAATTCAATTTGTCAGTTATAATTTTTAATCAAAACCGTAAGTTGTGGACAATTGTTATAGACAGTATTAGAAAAAAAGAATTAAGTAGAAACATTACTACTTCTACATAGTTCCTGAAAGAATAAATACAATTCAATATAATTGTGTATCTCAACACTGTTTCAGTATCAGATAAATCTTACCTGTAAATCATCAATTTCTTTATCCCAATTCTTTTCTCCAATAATTTTAATTGCTCTTACAAGCAGATTTGTTACTTTATTGACATTTTGTTTAAACAATGTTACTACATCAGCTGCGTGAACAGTTTCTTCACAACTTTTCCAACAATCATAATCTGTTGCCATTGCAATAATTGCATATAAAAGTCCTGCTTCTTTAGCTAGGTATACCTAAGTTAATGATTGTTTTAAATAATATATACTGTGTCACGTAATAAATCATGTTGTTACAAGAGTCTAGTAAACAAAGTTATTTATACTTATTTCTGTTAAATTTATTTTAAATACTAAGTTTATGCCGTTTGAAAACCTACCTCTGGACATGTAGTCATACCAACTAAGTCTCCACCCCAGAGACGCAGAGCATTACTTTCAGCTTTTGAGGAGAAACGTGGTCCTTCTATAACTGCTACTGTTCCTCCATTTCTAATATCGTATTCTAGTTCTTTACCAGCTTCAAATAATATTTTCGACATTTCTGAACTAAAGGCTGGCTCCATTGGCATATGGCATACACCTGTAATTAAGCATTGTACAACTTCTGTTAATGTGTAACTTATAAATGAAAATATACATTTAGAAAACACAAATCACCTGCATACTTAGATGAGGTGCCATCATAAAGAGTTACATGTCTCTTTATTGTTCTATCTATAAAACTGTCTGGCACAACTAACTGCCCTTTATGTATACACTCTTGTAAAGAACCACATGCTGCAGATGCAAGTATGTGAGTACATCCAGCTAATCGTAAAGCTTCAATATTTGCACGGTAATTTACTGCAGTGGGACTTATTTTATGACCTGGTCCATGTCTATTATAATCATTGTATGTTATTATTATTATTATTATTATTATGATCATCATCATCGTCGTCATCATCATCATCATCATCATCATCATTATTATTATAGAAAGAAATTCAAATATTTTCATAAAAATAACTTTTAAATAAAAAATGATAATATCAAAAATATCAATTGTGTCAGTGATGCTTTAGAATATATTTCATTACTTTTTGCAAGAAGAATATTACCTTGATAATAACACAACGTCAACACCGTTAATATTTCCCTGATAAAGATCGCTAGAAGGCAATCCAAAATCATTTTTGGCATCTTCTCGAGTAATCACTGTTCGGCAATTAAGGATTTGATTTTGGGGATCATCCAATCCAGAACCGCCAATTATTCCAATCTATAAACAGCAACTCCATAAACTTATACGAATAAATAAATATTCCAAATCGAAGAGAATTATTAACCACCTGTTAAACGCGTAAAGAGTTCGAGTGATTTATGGTGTATAGAAATATATGTTACTATTCCTTTTCGAACAATTACGTCACATATCACATGCAAAATGTAAAATTAAGATTTAAAAATTTGATTCAACTATATAACACATTTATACGATAAATCGAAAACATGATTTCACAAATTACATTAAAGAAAACGATCATACCTTCACCTTGTATTTACTCATTTAAAAAGTGATTTAATGTAAGTTAACTATTTCTCAATTTTTGATATTTTCTCAATTTTGGAACACCGCCTATTGATAAGCAAGTCAAGTTGATTCAGTATACTGCTACTGATAACACACAAGCACAGACGAGGTATAAGGATAGATATTGCAAGCTTATGGGACTTGATGTCATATGTTCTGAATTACCGACTGTTTAAAAAATCAAAGGTTTTGCTCTGTCCTCTACGCCTAGAAAATGGTGAATAGGAAAACTACATCGAGCAAAATGATCGAAGTTGACTAAATAGTAAATGTGGTAATATATAGTTTGCCTCTTTCTATCTGGAACCGGCAAAGACGTTATTTAATTGGGAAGCAAGGGGAGACCGTTCACTCTCCGTGCTCCCACCGCGCGAAACTACATAGAAGTATTTTATGAATTTATATCATATAGTATATATATTAACGCTTTAAAGTTATTAATACATGATTTTAAATATAAATTGTGTATATTTCCTAAGACACCCTAAAAGATAATTCTTAACTAACCTAAATTTTCAAGTCACTTTTAGAATTATTTCATGCACTTTCAACGCGTTTTAAATATATGTTTGTATAGTTACGTCATCGAATGTGCGTGATATAAACTTCATTGACAAACATTTATATTTCGTTAAAATGACAAGTCATTTAATTCGTATTTGTGGAATAATCACAAATTGTACAAAAACATGCTACGCTAACTACAATGGTACGACGAAACAATTATACTTATACAAATTAATTTGATTACTATATGTTTCATTTGCATAACCTTAAAATTGTATCAATACTTAACCGTTACTGTTTATGTATTTTATCCGAGTGTGAAATTATTTTCAGTGTCTCCTCATGGTCTATTAAAATCAAGTATTCCAGTAATGCAAAATACCAGAAACACCACCAATTTCTTTAACAAAAGTATGTATGCTCGTTTCAATTTTAAAATTATGAATCTAACGAGGATTAATTTTTGTTGATTTAATCATTTTTCTTTAAATTAGGACCAGCCGCAGCATTATGGAAATCAGTTACTAGTGTTAGTAATGCTGGAAGAAGGCGAGGTAGAGCAAAAGGTATACCCCAAATGAAAGACCTGAATAAAGGACAAAAAGTTGGTATAGGAAAGGTTGGAATGGTTTTTCCTGGGTTAAATAGTGCGCTTCTAACTGGCAATAAATTGAATGTACAAGAAAAACACCCAATTCTTGATAGCCTAGAAATTAAATCCTCTGCACCACACAGTAAAGTTACTAGTAAAAGATATAGAAAAGTATCTATATTAGAACGAGGTTGGACTAGTGCAAGCCTAGCAGGCAGAAAGATTGGACCTCCAGACCCTGTTGATGATGGTTAATAATAACATTTATTAATACTGCATTTTTTTATAAATTATAATAATTAAAAATGTGTTGATGCTATTGTACTTTTATTATTATAGAAAGTTTCGAAGGCTTCGAAAGTTGGATATTAAGATTTAAAGTTGTAAACATTATGACCAATAATTTTGGCCGTGTAAAGAAGCATACAGTTACAGTCTTGACTGGAAATAGAAATGGACTCATTGGATTTGCAACAGTAAAGGGAAAAAATTTTAAACCGTGCGTTATAAGAGCTAAAAACAGAGCTGCACAAAAATTAATGTATTTTCAAAGATATAATGATCATACAGGTAAATAATATTTTATTTTAATTCTTATTAGTTACAAAGTAGGTAAAATTTAAATTATTGCTTTGTTTCAGTGCTTAATGATTTTTTTACACAGTTTGGGAGAACAAAAATATTTGTTAGACAGATGCCTCAGGGCTCTGGAATTATATCTCACCGTATTATTAGAGTAATTTGCGAAGCATTGGGTATAAAGGATATGTATGCTAAAGTTGAGGGATGCACAAATCCTCAACATATAATAAAGGCTTTCCTCGTAGGTTTGTTAAAACAGGTATGGATTTATAGAGGTAATTCCATATTGTTGCCACTATTAATTAATAAGATAATGTCTAAAAAATGATTATATGTTTAGAAACCGTACCAACGAATGGCAGACGAAAAACGATTGCATTTAGTTGAATTAAGAAGAGAGAATGGTTATTACCCTAAAATACTTGCTTCACCAGAAAAACCAAGAACGAAATCAGAGCTCACAAAAAACGAAATTATAGATTTCAAACAATACGTAATGAATGGAAAGATAGTTTTAAGGAAGAAACCTCGCCCATCACCTTTTTCAAATCATCCCAATTACGTACGTCATTTACGTAAGGCGGAACGACAACGAGGTCAAGACGACGTGAGACTTAGATTAAGAGCTGAATATGGTGAACTGCGTAGTTTCCTTTTCGAAAAATACCCAGAAGCAAGAGCTCCAAGATACCTAGATATTCTAAAAAATAAATTGAATAAAGGGGAAGTAGAAGAATAGTATACGACTATATGATATATATGTATATAAGCATTAACTGTTCATCGAAGTCATAATAAATATATAAATACATTTTCAGTGACAATTTAGTATGTACATTAAATTATGCTTTGAAATCGTAACTGGCTTTATAATTAATGAAAAGATAAGTTTCATCATAAAATAGTACACGACAATGTAAATATTACGTGTACATTTCATATTTCCATTAAAAGATTTCTTTCTTAGTTTTTTCTTTTTCTCTACCATGATTTTGCATATTTATCTTTCTATTACAAAATAAACCTCCAGAATTAGTCAATTAATAACTCGTTACGAGTTATTTGAAAACATAATCAATTTTTAATCTTTTGTAATATATACAAATTTATAACATGTTTGTCATAATAAATGTTGAAACTACTATTTACACACTCTGATATAATTAAAATTTTTGTCATAATAATAAGAGCGAACTTACATCTGTGTGACACCGGTTGCAGATAGCAAGGAGCAGCATTATGTGTATGGGAAAGCAGCCGTAAATGCGATAGTGAGGTATAAGGCAAAATCGAGTGTTTTCCCTACCTCGTAATGAGTAAGATATGGACAGGTGTATATATGTGCAAAAAGGACAGACACAGTAACTAGTGGCGCCATCTACGGGCAAGTATTCAATATGAATTGATTAGTAGCTTCAAAGTTGGATAATCAGTTGTAAGAAGTTTATATTACCAATGAAAGATAAGTACAAGAAAACAGATTAAAGAGTGAAAAATTAGGTATGGCGTCAAGACGGATGCGCCGGAAGCCGCATACGGCTTCGCTTTGAGATAAAAATGAATGGGACCTTATTAATATGTTGCAAGAATCGTAGAAAGATGCAATTCCGTCGATGGTGAATTCGTGTCTCCGATTTACATGCCCTAAACCTACGACATTAAACAGTCTACGAATTAAGTATTAAATTATCTTATCACCGATAGTTTTTTTTCTTATCATCCCTTGAATCAATGTTCAAGAAATCAAAATTAAACATAATATGGCTGATCCAACAATACAAACGTTCTGCTGTCATCACTCAAATAGAACAGATATGGCTATTGTAGTTATGCAAGAATTCAACACGGATATATACAATACTGTATGCATGCTCTCATCCATGGTAGGAATCCTGGGTGCAGTATATCAGGTAAGAAAAAAGTGTTCTTTTCTTCCTTCAATAGGCTAAGACAGTTCTGTCCTAGATAATACCAAAAGAAGAATCTAATCTGCCTCACCGATGGCAAAATTTCTCTTCCTCCAGAGGACGAGAGATTATTATATGGCTTGCGATTGCTGACCTTTTAGCTTCGTTAGGTATGTCCCCATTACTTCTTGTAATAATAATCTCCGTCTTGTAATCATATACTTATACCATAATAAATAAATTTAAAAGAGAAGTTCAATGTTATTAAAATAATAATATTCATTACAATATTTGAAGAATCAGTTTCATGTATTACTCATAAATAATAATTACCAAATCATAAAATTGATTGTATTTCTTTTTAGGTGTATTCATAAGATCAGCACTTTGGATGAACTTCAAATCTATAATGCCAATGGAGGATGATACTTCCAGTGTCGTTTTCTGTGCACTTTCATCGGTCATTATTATTAAGAGATTAATTTCTTTCCTATTATAATTAATCTTTACATTATATTTATTATATTGCATTTATAGGCTTGGACACAATATTTTTATATGGCAACATGGATCTGGACATTATGCTATGCCATAGATATGAAGTTATTGCTTGGCGATAGATCCGGACATCCAACATGTTACCATGCATTTGCGTGGATATGTCCAGCAATTCTTACAACATTTGGTTTGGCAATTTTATATATACCAGATGCAAAGTTAGTCCACCTGTTCAATTAAAAATATTACAATGCTTTTTCCACATAATAAATTTTAATATATTTTTTTAGCTGCCACAATCTGACCTCTTTATCCACTGCCATACTACGTATATTACCAAATTATTGCGCTACCTATGTATTATTAGCGGTAGTTATGATTGTTAATCCTGTACTATATTTTGCGTCGACGCGAGATCTCCAAACTGCAGTTACTTGCAGTCTGGCTCAAATAACAGGCAGGGAAAGAAAATTGGTGCAAACAATAAGGCTTAAGTTTGCGTTGACTAATGTAGTATATTATGTGTGCTGGTTGCCAAATTTGATCAATGGTATCTTATTATGGACTTTATGGTTCCAATTGCCAATTAAAACCATTATAACTCTGTGGTATATAATGGTATGTATATCTTACAGTATTAATATTTAAATTTAATTAAGAAACTTTTAATTTACAGGCTGTTACAAATCCTTTACAAGCGTTTTTCAACGCACTCGTATATAAGCGATGGGGCAAAAGAGAAAAGTTTCGGTTAGAATGCTGCCAAAAGTTAGGCAGCTTTAATATAAGTCAGATAACAAAAACAGACACTGGTGTACGATTAACTGAATCTTCACCATTACTGGATCCAAAATTCGGATGCCCTCCTCACACGAGCATAAACGGTTCTTCTTCGTTTTGAAAACTGTGATAAATTGAATTTACGGAGTGCCTTATATATTATTTTTAAACGGAGTTATATTTTTGTAATATGCTCAATCGTCATCTTGCAATATAAAGAAATTTGACAAGGATAACGCTAAATATACAAAATATTTTGAGATTTTCTGATGAAGATTTGCCAAAATGTTGTATTAGTAGAAACAAGAAAACAATACTGAAATAAGGAATCAATAATAATTCAAACACAACAAATGTTACATGTATCAACGTCGACATGAAACTAATTCACACATATAAAATTATCATTGCCCAGTTATTCTTCTCCTGTATCATGTTAAGATCAAGGTTATTGATATTTCTGAATATTTATTAATAAGATATTAATATATGAAACGCTATTTTCTTATTTTTACTAATAAAACATAGTGGCATAACCTGGATAGAAAATTTGTAAATATAGGAATTGTATGTGTAACACAATGAATTTTTTAAAAAGTAATTTTATAAACATAAGGAGTATTAATAGTTTCCCAGAAAAGTATTCTCTGAATAGATTCCTTCAGGAATTATTGTACAATATAAAGCTTTACTGGAAAAAATATTTTTTTTTGTAATGTAAAGTACTTTTCTTTGATAAGCAGATTTGTTACTTGTTATATATACAAGAGGCTTTATTTTCTACACATGTAAGGAGAACAAGTATATACAATACTATTGTTTAATCAATTTAGCTTTCTTTTGTTTTGTACATCTAGTGTTTCTTAGGCTGTTTATAAATTACAAACTATTCAACTTGAAGCACTCAGATTTGCATGAATATATATAATATATAAATATAACGGACATCACAATTTAAAAATTTATCGTTACGACAGTCACTTTGTTATGGTTAATAAGGAGCACCTCTAAAAAATATGTGTATCTCAGAAAATAGTGCATGTAGAATCTTGAAACACATATCTCGATCTGTTCTCTTGTTTTTTTTTGTTGTTTGTTTTTTTCTTTTTTTAATTAACAGACTTTTATTCGTACAAGATCTCTGACTTTAATAAAAAAAGTTTTTATGTACATTACTAGTAACAAGTGTTCGTAGATTTTCACATTACCCACGACATCACACATCTTGTTTTTACAAATAATGTCAACTAATTTTTCGAGCAGTGATCTCTTCTGTGTTAGCACCAAAAATTCTATGTAAATACGACGATGATTTAATTCTGAATACGAAGCGTAACAAAGAAATACACAGTGTAGAAAAGGTTTTAATCTGTACAAATGAATCAATTACTGTGCAGACCTGCTAAATGAAAATAACGAAGATCAAACTATTGAACTGAGTTATAAATAACTTCTGACAGATACAAAGAAAATTTCTCAAATAATTATAAAAATACATAAATATTCATTATATCGCGAGTATTAGATTAGAATAAACTAAAAAAAGAAAAACAAAAATTATTTATAATTCAACCCAATACTTTTATCGTTCGCTTGTTTTCGCGAAAGAAAAAATGTGCACCATTGGAGATTATTGACCAATAATTTAACATTAATCTTGGACTATGTCTCATATCTTACACATTTAAATCTAAATCGTTATTCTAAAATGTTATCATCCACTTTTTTTCTTCTTCTAATATCAGTGTTAAAAATAGATTGAATTTTAATAAAATAATCTTTGAGTAAAGCTAAGTTATTTGATCTATTAGTACTAACTTTATAAGACTAATAATATATAAAGATTCTGTGACTGTATAATAACGAAATGAATGTTCACGCTTCTTTTTACATCGCTTACATACTCTACATACAGTAAATTAGGGTAAATACTGCCAAGTTGATGTCTAACATAAGGGTTACCTGGAAGAATTTACTTTCAAGGTCAAATCATTTGTTAGTAAAATGTAATCATTCTTTTTTACTACTGCAATACAGAACATAGAGGGCTTAAATTTGTGGCTTACAGTTACTGATAATTTATGAAATCTGTTCCATTATAAATTAAATTGTTCCATTTATAACCCAAAGTCTACTTTGTTCATAACATTTTCAACCATATATACACTACATTCCAATCACATCTCTTAGCGATATATCCTAAATTTTGTCATTCACATATTCTTAGTCTTTCTTTTATTTTAATGAAAAACACTATATGCATAGAACTCAATAAACTGTAACAATACTTGGCAGTCAACTGTTTAAAAAATTAGCACAATGATTAAATACAAAGCATCATGCTTTGTCCACCTTACTATAATCTTAATATCATTCAAAAAAACAGCGCATATCTTACAAGAAAAATGGATATTTTAGTAATCTCATGAAAGTAAAAAATATGTATAAAATTATCGTCCTCGTTTTTACAAATCGTCACTACATTTTTCATAAATTCAAGAGCATGTCAAGAGTAATACTAAACATTCTTTTACTACTATTAGCAAGTTCATAAACTAGTTTACTTGTTTAAAAAGGAAAATAGGATGATAAATTTGATAATTTATTATGCAGGAGTGTAAAAGATCCGATAACGATATCACAATGATCTTGCAACAAAGGATTAATTTTTTAAGTGCAAAAAATCAATATTTTTTACTTATTAATTCTATGTTAATCATAATTATAATTTTACAATAGATTCTACTTTAAATGCACGGATCGTTTGCGCCATATAATATACGCAAAATATAGTGGCAATAAAAAATTGCGAAAATTGACAAACATGAACGTAATTATGTTCCCTAAATTTTCTTCTTAAATGTAATAAAATATTATTTATCTCGTTCGATTTGGCACTTTAGCAAAGTATATGCAATTAAGAAATTATATTAAACAAGGTATTTACCTTCAAGAATTTAAAGGGTGAAGTATATCATACAAAGAAAGAAATCGATGTCCAATGCAGTGTCTGCCATCAGGATGAAAAATTCGATGCTCCTAGGGTCAATGATGTTATTTCACGAACGATCATCTCGGCGATCTTCCATGCTAATTCTTCTTTAGCCTAATTATATTCATTCGTTATAGTTTCAAAGCAAGTATTCAAAACGTTCAATTAAATCATGCATTTAATGGTACTTCTGCAAAATAGGTTCTTTATTAAAATTATTACTTTAATTAGTAATTATTTAATCTTCAGAAAAGATTCGAACTTATGTTGTAGATGTATTATCGCTTAAAAGCTTGGGACTACTTCATGCAAAGGAAACTTATATTTCTGAATATATATTGTAGTTTATGTATACATCTGTATATAGAAACATTTGAATGCTATAAATAATCTCAAACTTTTGATCGATAGAATAAATGTGTTATGAAGCTCACCTTGTCTTGCTCCATATTTACAAGCCTTTTCACAGCACGTGTTAATCGTGATTCTAAAATTATTTCGTCTATTACTACTATTTCCATTCGACTTAAATTGTCAACATGATTTCCAAAAACCACTTACCACATTTTCTTTGAGGATCTGGTTCTATTTCAGTTATAAACCTTCCTAAGGCATCGATATAACCGACGCTTAAACTATAAGTTGAATAAGATATCAATTAAAATGTTCATTAAAAAAGATTTTAATATCCCAATTACCTATATTTATTACGTTTCCATAAGGAATCAGGATCATAAAGTTGTCTAGTGTCGATGTTCATACCACTGCTGATGTTTTTTTTGTTGTTACCCGATCTTCCTTCATTCCCTGCCTGCAGGGAACCTTGCATATTAATACTAATGGAACTCACTTCGCTACTACAATCTGAACCTAAAATTATCAGAAATAATTATGTTACATCATTTTATATGTAATAAAAATAAGTAAACTGTATAGTAAAGGCATGCAAACCTGCTCTTTTTATTCTAGGGTGTAAACTCGAGCATGAACTACTCTGTATAGTATTGATCAACTCTGACAAGTATTTGTAATATAGCTGCGATGATAAGAAGGTAGGTAGATAATGCTGGAAAAAGTACAATGTTATCTCAATGTTGAGTTGTTAAAGCTTTATCAGTGTTTTATTAGTCTTTAATATCAATCAGAAAAGAACTGTAATGTTTTGAGTAATATCAGGATTTACTTGTACCTTATTTAAAAGATTATATACAATTTTACAAGGCTTATCAAAACAGTCTGGTCGTGGTCCCTCCCCATCTTCATGACAAATATTTTGCTCTACTTGAAAGCGAATTATATCACTGAAACCAAGCGACATCGTCGCTTGGAGACTAAAATACTTGTCATAAATGATCAGTGCATCAGTTTGGGCTTCCTCAGGATTCGCTGCATCCTTTTTTTCCAACAAGTTTTGTTTGTAATTGATAGCAGACATCCAAAAGTCTAATAACTCGCGTTTATTTTCGAGTTCCATGAACTGAAATATATTTCGATCCATTATGAAAGTACAAAATATAAAGAAATGTGCAATAGAAACTCTACCTCCATAAAATAAAAGAATGCAGTTTCATTGTACAATATATCTGTTAATTGTACGTTGCCACTTGTAAGAACATCAATCTGATGTTTGCAGTTAAATTCACTTCTCAAAAAGTCATTAATGTGCCTGAAAGAGAGAATATTTAAATTTGAATTACGTGATCGTTCAGCAAAAATTTTTATACACTTCTAACTCTATACTCACTCATTTTCTAATATATTGTATACAATGTCTTGAACAGCTGATAGGCACCACAACATAGACTCAATATTTTCACAAGTCAGAGCTTTCTCCATCTCCGTCTTAATATCTTCAGGAATTTGATTTATGCCCAGAGTATCTTTAACAATATACTTCTTATAAATTCTTAACGCATCTTGCCTTGTCATGTCACGTCTCTTGCAATTATGTTTTGATTGTCCACTTCTGTTTATATTTTGACTAATCTTTGGCATGTTGTTACAATTTGATTTCCTACCATTATTATTTACATATTCATTGAACAATGTATCATCGGTTTCATTATCATTATTCTGTGCCACTTGACAATGAAAATTCTTATTGTTATCCATTGAATTAGATAGTCTATTAGCATTCTCTGTACAATTCGATGGTTGAACATTTTTCTTCTGAGTTTCTAATATATTAAACGAACTGCATAAGCATTCCACTTCCAGCCAAAATTTAATAAGCTCTATACAGTTTTTTGTCTCCATAAATTGAATGAAGTAACCAAGAGCACCTTTGTCCGCAAGGATTTGTGGAAGCGTCTTTGAAAGTTGGGAGCTAAAGGATGACATGTCTCTTGTTTCTCCATTGAACATTTCGTCTTCCTCTTCCTCCTCAAGGCTGCACAATACACCTGTTGGTGTTTGAACAGATGAATCTCCGTTAAATACATCTCCAAATAAGTTCCCAGAACTTGTTGGTTTAGTTGGAGAAGTTTGCAAAGATCTGGGCCTATCTTTCTGCCCTGAAATAAACAACTATTCTATGAGACTAATCCCGCGATAGAAATCAGCGGAGTACAGAAACATTAAAAAATCTTCCTTCCATTTAATGATTTCAATATTTTGAAAAAAGAATCCAAGTCCAGAACTTCCGATAGAATAGAGAAATAAATATTTTCGTATACAGGTTAGGTCCGACACAACCAAAACGAAATTTCGTTCACGTTAAATAACAATGAATTAAGGCTAAGCGAATTAGATATTTACCAGACTTCTTAAAAAATGGAAACATTGTTTACGCCAGAAGGAAACATGATAAGCGACGCGATGCAACAATCGTACTTGGAGGTGATATTTCAAAGGCAATAACGCGAAACCTTTTCTGCGACGGACGAAAATTATGCGTCGGATACGTTTCGGCTACAGTACCGAGCACTGAATTAGGAAAACGACACAGTAAACTTCCTTAGTCGCGCGCATACACGGCACATGACATTTCACCGAGCCATCGTTAATGTCATCGTCGCTCTGTTTGGGGATTCGTTACATCGATAGTTGGATACAGCCGCTTCCGCAAATGATGTTCCTCTTTCTTTTTTTTCCCCTCTCGAAAGATAGAACACAGAAGAAAAAATCTTCCGTCAAAACATTTCAGACACCATATTTGCGTAATCGATCATTTCTATTTGCTGAAATCATAGATATGTCAATGGTTCGTGGAAAGCATAACAGTCCTGGTCAAACATAATTATTCTAAGCGGTTTCGTAACGGCGATCTCGAAGAAATCTTCACGGCGCATTTCGTTTTTGCACATCATTACTATTACAACTGTTTAGTTGTTACTCCCGTGATTTTCACTCTTCAACACGTTCACCGCGATCTTGATTTTCCATGACTTTCTCCAATGAACGACGTATTTATCTGCGTGTACCCTTTTGGCGGAAAAGATTTGCTTTATTTTCCTTTTGATTTTTCACATTACTTAAAGTTAAAATTCTTTGAAAAATCTTGGATCAAAGTGTGATATGAAAAAATCCTACAAATAAAATCATTTTGTAACACGTATATTCGAAACTGAAAAAAATATTTGTACCTTGTTACTGAAATATATAATTTGAATTGTCAAATTGATGATGAAATAATGAATATAATGCCACGACAGAGAGTCTAAGAAGAGACAGGAGAGGAGGAGATTGGAATAGTTGAGCAGTCAATAATATCAATCTAAAATATATATAGCAATCCTTTTGGCACTTTACTCATATCAGTTATATTTGTAGCTCCATATACAGTATGCTATGAACGGTTAATGTCATTAGTGACATAAACGCGTTGACTGCCATGAGAATTTCGAGCGTTTCGTTACAGTAAGATTTATTCCTTTATAACAGAGGAAAATAGTGTTAAATATAATTAATATTTAATAAAATATTATTAAATATAATATTTAGAAGAAAATAGTATTAAGTATAATAACTGTATTAATAGTATTAAATATTAAATATAATCAATAATGTTTTGGTATTACAGTATTCATATTACACTACTATCTAGCTTCTCGTGTTACTAAATACTTTGATTCAATATCAATTTTCTTATTGTAATTGTTTTTAAGCAATTTGGAAGCGCCGGTCACCGGTGACCACCGTGGCAGTCAACGTGTTAACACTATGTATTTCTACCGAAAGGGTCTCGAAAGCCACCTTTTGAAATTTTAACCTAAAATCATTTTCCAAGATTAGTCGTATATTCTGGATTGTCTTTTCGACTTTTCCAATAACGATTATAAAATTGACTATAGGAAATGTCCAAAATTCAATTGAGGAAAACTGATTAGACTGAGGAAATAATTTTAAGTTAAGATTTCAAAAGGTGTCCTTCCACACCTTCGGTAGAAATAGTGTTAAAGTACACACCTACATTTTAGGGGATCCTAAATTCTTAAACCTAATATGAGCAATTAATACTTTTCACGGATTCTTAGGATTGATCCATTCTGAAATTTATATATAGATCGATGTAAAATTCTTCAGAGAATAACGATCCAAAGTAGTTCGACGATTATTTTACGGTAGTATAAAACATTTTTAACCTTTGGCGGACGGATGTCGGCATTTCGGTGAGATGAAATATTCAAATTTGGAAAACCAAGTTGTGGAGAAATGATCTAATTAGTCGAACAGCAAGAGACCAGCACGTAGTTTTCTTTTTAATTAAGCAATTGATATATAATTTAGCTTCATATGTTGAAGGCTTTGTATCTTTCGAAGATTGTTGAAACTATACAAAACCTTTTGCAGATTCTGTTAAATTAAATAGAGAATAAGGAAACTGATTTCTTGTTGTTCGAATACTTATCACACCAAGTGCCACGCGATTTCGCTGAGAAAAATATACAAAATAAATAATCTAATATCAAATTATATAATTGAAATGCGTTATTATTATTGCAAGTTTATCTTGTTGAGTATCACTACATTAAGTAGTATCACTACTAATACAGAAAAGTTTCCAAATAATCATCCTATAATCAAATAAATTATAGTTATTCGATTTGGTTGTCACCGGTGACTCCCATAGGATCCAACGTGTTAAATCATTCGTTCGCAACTTGGTATTCCAAACATGGAAGTCTGATCTCAGCAAAACGCCGACATTCTTTCGCAAAGGGTTAAACGCAAGTTGTAAATGGATATACGGTTATTCGCGTAAGGGTTAAATAAAAATTACATCTTCACGAAATCACGCCTAATTCTTCTCCGTATACTGTTAGACCAAGGATAATGGTGTCGAACAATTTATTCTTTATCTATCGGGGTTCATCCGAATTATCCTCGTGTCAGGGTCGGGAGTTCCACCATTGAAATCAGAACCGGTTAACATTACGGAACGCGTACACGCGTTCATGTATATCGAAGGGGCCAATGTCCGGGCAGCCGCGAGCTTGAGGCTCTCATGACCGTTCAACGACAAAGAATACCGGTTTCCCGGCGTACTGACCACTATATCAAGGAAGATCATCGTTGGCGCGCCACCTCTTAGCCGGTCAGTCTGTGTCCTGTCGACAATCCTCAAACATTTTTCCAAGGAAGGAGTTCGGACTGTCATCATGCTACCGCTTTATGGCTTTCTCGTGCTGATTTATCACACCTCGGCTGGCCTCACTGCGCCGGCGACCTACGATCAACGTCAGACCGGCGATCTGAACGTCCAGGTCCACCTGAAAGACGTGCATGTCCTTGCACTGCTGGATAAGGAGTTGCTTGACGATTACACGGTAATTACTGCCCATCGTCGACGCACCTCGTGACCGGGGAGCGTTCCGATAACAACTGATAACGCGATAACGAAATCTATTCGTTGGCATTCCCTTTTCTCTTCTTGCTCGAGACCACGCGAGTGACCGTGTCGTTCGGGTCGCTGCCGTTAAGGGGAGGGCAGGAACGATGGGTCGTAATATCGATTGTTCGGAAAGTAATTTCGTTTCTTTTGAACATGAAACGCGATTTTCTTATAGTGTATACATATTTCATTGAATTATATATTCTCCATTCTGGTTTAATACCTTTTGCCATCTTTCTGGCAGCATGATTTCACGCTCATGAAACTTCTGATCTTTGCTGGCGTAAAACTGATCCAAGTTATTTTTTATGTCCTCATTTGAAGTTAAGGTTTTGCGTCGTTTAAACAATTTTGTAGAGATTGGAACAAGTAATCTAAAAGTACCAGATCTGGAGAATATGGTGGGTGTGGTAGTTTTATGTAGATTCTTCTGAACTGTTGATGTCCGATAAACGATCCCGTTAGTTCTCGAAGATAGAAGATTTTTCTTAGTTTCATTGATTTTCTCTTTCATAGTTTCTATGTTTATATTCGAATGTTTGTACGTATATAATACTAGTAATCATTTTGTCAATGAATTACAGGACTACGACTACTTTTATGATTACCCCGATTTCACGGTAAAACCCAGTGAAGTACCGGTCAAACCTACGCCGGCTTCGGAGACAAGTTCACCGTCTTCGGACACCACAGTCGAGCCTGACACTGTGGAATTGGCCGATTCTGATCAGAATTCTACGTCATCCTTGTCCAGTGTATCTCCGGTTTTGAACTCCACTGAAAGTACGTCAGCAATGGGCAGTGAAAAGTCTAACGAGTCGACAACGGAGAAAACAGGCGACAATATCAGCGAGAACGTGAAAACTAGGAACATGCTTCCATACTACAACAGTGGAGGGCAACACTCGGAACTATCTTCCCAAGGAAACTCGGCTAAACTGATGCGAAAGAGGTGCAGATCTGGGTATTCACCCGATGGTAAAGGTCGTTGCCGTCGGTCGAGTCAACGACGATTGTCTCTCATACCGTGAGTATTGGCTAGAAATGAATCATTCGATCTCTTCGAGCATAAATGTCGTTATCTTGGATCTTTTATCAAGTTATCTAATCGAGCTATTGTATTCTTGGTAGAGTATTTTTCCTCTCAACCGAAATAAATTATTTATTAACCCTTTGCACTCTATATAAAACTATAAAGTTTGATATTTAATATTATACTTTGTATAATGTATCAATTTGAGAAATATTTATATAAAATAACTTTGTTTCTCGATGTATGTGATTTCTCGTCGAGTTAATTTCACAAAACATCTTTATCTCATTAGAAAATGTTCAAGTATTTCTAGTGAAGAACTTCCGAGTGCAAAGGGTTAAAAATGGTAACAATGATTATGGATACTTGGAAGACTATTTTTAACGGTTATTTTTAACGGAACCTTTTATACAATCTTCTTTTATATCGCCGTCTCAGAAAATTATTATATCTCATTTTACAAAAGGACTCGTTGGTCCACGATTATAATTGTTACCATCATTAACCCCTTGTCCTATGATTTATTTCTGAACTATAATCGATACAACTATTTTATCGTTAATAACACTGTGGAATAAATTTTAACCTATTTTGCTTTTTACAATAACCACTAGATGATTTTTATAGAATTCCTTACCCTAAATACGAATCCGAAAACCAAATTGCTGGGTCACGTCCAGTTTTCGAAAAAACAGGGTTTCTGTAAAAACAGTCGAATATTTCAGAGAATCAAGTGTTACGTGAAAACTAAACATGACAGGCAGTTAAAATTTGTCGTAGAAAATAGAGGAGACTTGTTCGAATATGTAGCTATAAAAATTTTGAATTTTGCGTATCATTAAATGTTTGTAAACGATGATCAATGTTTAAAAAAGGGTAGATGCGCGTGACCCCGCTCACTTCTTATATGTATACATAATGTGTGATTGTTTTATAAATTTTCATAATAGTTATGAGAAATTTTTTCACGATCGTTCCGTTTTAAATAATTCGCTGTTTAATATGTGAATACACATATACGAGTAATATTATTACGATGATTAACACTAAAACTATCGAATCAGTCAAGATTGCCGGTATAAATTGTATTATCTTTCGATTACTAATATCTTGGAGGTAATAGATATCTGAAATGTTTTTGAAAATGAATTAAGTTTACTGAAACTGTAATGAATATTCGGGTATACTCAGTAGTTTTAGTGTTAACTTAAAAATACTTCAGCAAACATCCATTGTAGATCCTATTTTGTGTAATAGTTTTTTACGTCAAATTTAATACTCTATTTGAATTCAGAATATCATTAGATGTACCATGTAAAAAACCGATTACAATGATGTTTTTCCTTTATATTATATTATATTAAATTATTATATTAAACATCAAATTATTTAAAACAGAACGATCGTGAAAAACTTTCTCATAACTATTATGAAAATTTATAAAACAATTAAACATTATATATACATATAAGAAGTGACCGGGGTCCAGGTCTATACAGCGCGTGGTCACGGCCCTGCATAGCTGTGGCCGGTGAGCGATGACTGTGTGGCGCCAAAGTTGCGTGCACGCGCTCTTCACGGCATTTTCTTGACCTGTCCGAAAGAAAAACCGTTCTCACACTTCCCGCGGGGGGGTTCCTCTTCAGAAATGTCTGTAGAATCCAACGGTGCACAGCAAATTCGTACTAGCCAACCCACTTTTCGTAGAAATGTAACAGAAGTGCATACAAAGTACGCGCATCTACCCCTTTTTAAAATTTGATCATCGTTTACAAACATTTAATGATAAGCAAAATTCAAAATTTTTATAGCTACATATTCGAACAAGTCTCCTCTATTTTCTACGACAAATTTTAACTGCCTATCGTGTTTATTTTTCACGTAACACTTGATTCTCTGAAATATTCGACCATTTTTACAAAAAACCTGTTTTTTCGAAAACTGGACGTGACCCAGCAATTTGGTTTTCGGATTTGTATTTAGCGTAAGGAACTCTATAAGGATCACCTAGTGGTTATTGTAAAAAGCAAAATAGGTTAAAATTTGTTCCACAGTGTAATTTATTAGGAAAAGAAAAACTTTGGATATTTATTCTATGTCTACGTTTACTGCAAAAGTTAACGATTGATAATAGAAAAGTAATACTTAATTTATATTTTAAAAAAATAAATAATACTTGGGTTTCTCAAATTCAGTTTAAAATTTTCGTCGCGAGTCTGACACGATATTGCAAGTCAAGGGGTTAAAAGATCAATCAAGGATCTCTCAATCGTTAATTTTTATAGGAATGTTTCATTATTGCCGGTGAACAAAACTGCCGTTTCAATTTGACACTTCTCCGTTTCTCAGAATAGCGATGAAGCTCGGTCCAAAATTTCTGAACGATCTGACGCGCAATACGAAGAATCAGCCGTAATAGGAAGTCCGTCGGGTGCAACCGAACTAAAACGTGTTACGAATACTCGATAAGAACCGTAACGGAGACCTGCGCAATTTCACAAGATGTATTTCTGTTCTCTGTCGTTTTGCGTTCAGTTATATGCGAGTTCAACGTTCCCATGCCTTTATTCACGCCGCATTTTCATTCGCCCGTAGTCCTTATAGTTTTGTATAGTTTCATATAGTTTTATACAATTTTATAGTTTTATATAGTTTTACATATTTTTATCCAGTTTTATCCAGTTTTGTATAGTTTTACATAGTTTTTTATAGTTTTATATAATATTACACCTGTTTATATAGTTTTAATAGTTTTAATAGCTTTACATAGTTTTATATAGTTTTATATAGTTTTATATAGTTTTATATAGTTTTATATAGTTTTATATAGTTTTACACAATCTGTCCAGACCCTGGTGCGACAGAGCCTTTAAATTTTTTTTCTGTAACACCATCTCGTAATGAATAAATGCATTGTGAAGTTTGACATGTCAACAAAGTCCACGTACAACTTCAATTTGCTAGCACCTCTACTTCATTTGTTATTGAGGTTACATTTGACAATGCTTCGTAGCGCACGTTGAAAAAACTACATGTATGCAGCAGAGGGCAAACATTAATTTTCGCTTTAAGTTATGCAAAACAGCAAGCAAAATGTACGAAATGATGAAAGGCGTGTACGGTAGTGATTGCATAGATCGTGCCAACATTTTTAGATGGTTATAAAGTGCGCATTCAGAAGAGCCGCATCAAGACATTGCTCATCGTTTTCTTCAATTCGCAAGGAATTATCCACAAGGGATTTATACCTGAAGGATAAACAGCAAATGCAGAATATTATGCCGATGTTCTAAATCGCTCATGGAACAGGATTCGTTGAGTTCGGTTTCAATACCAAAAGCAACAGACTTGGTTCCAATTGCGCGATAATGCACCAGCGCACAAATCCGAGATTTAATAGATTTTTATTAGTTTAATATATTAAGCTGTTGTCCTAAGTAATTTAATTGTTTTAAATAATTCAGATTCTTCTTGTTGTTGTTTCATAAATTCTGCATGTTCTACAGAATCTATTGAATGTACAATTTCAATACCACAAGTACGTACTATACCAACAAGCATTTGACAAATTTGTTGTAAAGTCATTAATGCTAAGGATGGATCAGTTCCTTGTTCCCACCAACAAATTGATACCATTGAATATTTTATATGATTATATATATGCTTAATGTTTTCTGTCCTTTGGTTAAACTCTTTACAAAAGTTTACTATATTTATATTTCTCTGTAAATGAAAATATTAATTTATTAATTATACAAGAAATTAAATTTCTTGACACATGAAGTTTATATCATTTTATTTAAAAATAAAGGTTTTTTTAACCTGTCCAAGTTGTGATCCAAGAAGTGGTTTGGCGGATGCCATTCCTGCAGGAATAATCACTCGCAATTTTGAAGAATGATTTACTTTCGCCAATACTTTCTTTGCCATTTATCCCTTTCTCATTACTTTAGACATTTTTGTAAGCTTTTATAAAATAATTTCTCTTTTTGTTTACGTATTAAACAATATAGTACATTTCATTGCTTCACGTTGGCGACATTGAAAAATAAATCTAGTTTCTTTGCACTGCTAATCATTGAAAATAATAATTACCCTAGATTTTTACAGTGTAACGCTATTGCGTGAATTGAATAGGCACGGTACGACGGTAGCGCTGGGCGAAGATAGTTACAGCTGCGTTTCGTGGTCGAAGCTCATAAATTGAGAGGGAAATACGAACGGTTTAGCGAGAACATTATAAACACATATATTATCGTAAAACACTCAATGCTGACGGCCGAGCTGAGAGGAAATTGGAAACCAGAGAATTATTATTTTCAGCTAGAATCATCTTTGGTTCTCACTTCGGCAAATTCGATACATTGTAAGGGGCCATAAATTCTTTTCAAAAGGTTGACACGTGTTACATTCGGTTCTCACTTCGGCGAATTTGATACATTGTTATCTGTCGACGCATTCGCTTTTACGAGAACATTGTGTGTTTTTCTGGGTTCCGCGTTTCTCTCAGCATGTGCGCATGGAATCGTTCGCGCATTAATCAGATTTCCTCTGCTATTGGGCCAAGGAGACTCGGAAGGAGAAAACAGGACCAAGGAAGAGGGAATGCGAACCGACAACGAACGAGATTTACAACGCAAAAATCAGAACGATTTCAAACCTCGAATGTTTAATTACTTATAAACTCAGAAATAAAACAGAAGTCAAAATTTCCACAACCAAAAGTATAAGGTTTATTTCACGCGCCACAAGCAGAGTACCTTAGTACTCCACGGGCACCTTACCCACGTAAATTTCCCTAAATTTTCCCTAACCGCGAACGGCGCAACGCAACAACAATATTGCAAGATAATAAGAGTTTACCTTTGTGTACAGTGCACACTGTACAATAATCAGTAAAGCGTTGAAATCCGAATCGTGATTCTCGTGTCTGTGATTATTTTATTCAAAAGAAATTAATAAGCAGTATTACATAAAAGAGTCAAAATGGGTAAACGTCAACATCAAAAGGATAAAATGTAAGATGTGAACAAATTTCATAGTGAACTATCAAAAATGTTTTGTCTTTTTTTATATTATATTATCAACATATCTTTTTGATTCTTGTAGGTATTTAACATATACAGAATGGTCCACATTATATGGTGGAAAAAAAGCAGGAACATCTGAAGAAAGTGAAGATACAACATTTCGTCGTTTACCATATGATCATTGCTGTTTATCCTTACAACCTTTTCAACATCCTTACTGTGATTCTCAAGGGAATGTCTTTGAATTAGAAGCAATACTGGAATATATAAAAAGATTCAAACATAATCCTGTCACAGGAAAACCTTTAGATCCAAAGACCTTAATAAAGTTAAACTTTTGTAAAAATGCAGAAGGACAATATCATTGTCCAGTTCTTTTCAAATTATTTACTAAACATTCTCATATTGTTGCT